TCCAGGTCTTGTCACTTTCTGCGGTGAGTAGACCTGGTCATATAGCATAGTCCCGTAATATACACATACATACCTCATAAACAGAAATATGTATATAAGCATATGTATACACATACACATATGTACATGGACACACAACCCCTGTTGTGGCTGCATACTTCTGTTGGTATTGCTTTGCTTGTTGCTCCTATGACTCCTATGACTTGCAGCATCGTTATTGCTGTCTTGACACACACTAAGACTTCGTCGTCACGTCCAAGATGGCTACCAGCTTTGCATTGCTACTACCATTCCTACTGTTGCTTTCATGGCTACTTACTTACTTCCCAACAAGCCGGGGAAAGAAAAGGTTTAACTTTCAGACTACTACTTAACCCTAAACCCTAAACCCTAAACCCCTAAACCCCTAAACCCCTAAACCCTAAACCCTAAACCCTAAACCCTTTCAGACTACTAAGTCTAAGAACCAAGGAACTTCAAAGGCTGGGTACTGTGGAACTAAGCTTATCCGAGTAGGCCGGCGTCCACTCTGGCCTCCGGCACTCCGTGAAAGCTGAACAGAATGTGGTCGACATTCTTGCCCTGATTCCCAGGTGGCCGGTTCAGGGCTTAGGTTTGCGAGTCCTGGGTTGAAGATAGAGGCCTGGATGGTCGGAAAAGTATTCCTTCAGGCTCCTAACGAACATGAAAGCATATACCCCAAAATCCTTTTTAGTCCAATATTTAATGCCCTTCTTCAAAGGTTTCCAAGACAGCATGGTGTTGGTGTAATAGGGTTTTGTAATTTTTGTTTAACCGGACCTTGTTCCAGGGCTTAGGGTGTAAGGTTTAGTGTTGAGGTTTGGGGTTCAGGGTTTCGGGTTCAGGGTCAGGGATTTGGGGCTCAGGGTATGAAGTTTGGGGTTTAGGGTTTGGGATTAAGGGTTTGGGGTTAAGGGCTTGAAGTTTAAGGTTTGGGCTAAGGGCTCAGGGTTTAGATATTGGGGTTTAGGGTTTAGGTTTTAGGGTACAGGGCTGGGGTTCGAATCCATCTAGAGACGACTTTTTTGTTGCTATCGCGATGCCTGTGACAATTTGCTCCTACAAGTTCTTGCTAGGTTTAGACATGTTCTAAGGCCTCCACCGCACACTTGAAAACCCTAAGACGGTAAAGCCTAAACACCGACAGCCTGGAACCACAAGTGGGTAGTTGTCAAGATTCTAGTCTTTCTGGGATCCCCATACAACCGAACTAACATAGGGGCCTTAATAACTAGAAAAGGGTTTTGGGGTCCTTTCTAGTATAATCATAATAAGGAACCCCCAATAAAGTATAGGTAATTACTTAGACCCCTGTACTGACTTCCCAAAAAGCAGGGAAATAAAAGGTAAACCTTTCAGGTTACTACTCAATTATCAGAACCCAAAACGTCTAAAGGTTGGGTATTGGGGAACTCAGGGTATTGTTAACATGGCAGCCTAAACCCTAAACCCTAAACTTTGGTACCCCCAGGAAGACGCTGTTTGACCATCGCCCGAGTATCAAACCTGCGGGCTAGCCCTAAACTTCAAAACCTAAAACCCTGATAAAGGGTTTAGGGTTTAGGGTAACTCTAAAACCTAGAACCCCTGATAAAGGGGCCGTTTTTAATACTTAGGATAGGGTTTGGGGGTATAGTATACTATACTTCTAATAAGGAACCACTTAAAGCCCTATTCTAACTTTTAAGGCCCCTACATTGACCCCTAAACCCCTTAACCCTAAACCCTAAATGGTGGGGCAGAGAAGCTTTGGAGATGTCGAGTTCGGTGTTCTTGGGCTCCAGGGTTCGAGAAGGGCTCTGTTAAGGATTCTTTAATAAGGGCGTATAAGTAGGGATTAGGGTTTAGGGTTTAGGGCAAAAAGGGCTTTTGCAACTGTTTTTGTTAAGGGATCTGCTGGGTTTCGGTTAAACGGCTTAGGGTCCGACGATTTCGGAGAGGAGAGGGGGGTGAAAGATATCTCCTCAGCTCAGTGGCCCTGCGAACAGCAGGCGCATGGAATTAGGGTTAAGGGCTTATAGGGATTAGGGTTTAGGGATTAGGGTTGAAGGTTTAGGGTTTAGGGATTTGGGTTTAGGGATTAGGCTTGATGGCTTAGGGTTTAGGGATTAGGGTTGAAGGTTTAGGGTTTAGGGATTTGGGTTTAGGGATTAGGCTTGAGGGTTTAGGGTTTAGGGATTAGGGTTGAGGGTTTCTATGGTTTAGGGTTCCTGAATCACGAGGCCGAAAATGCCTTCTTATGAGAGCAATTAGAGCCCGTGTAAAAGCCCTGTTCTAGTTATTGCGGCCGCCATGTTAAATCCTATTAAAGCCTTCAAAAAAGATGTAATCGTATAAGACCCCAGAAAACATGCACCCTAAACCCTAAACCCTAAAACCTAAACCCTAAACCGTAACCCCAAACCCTAAAACAGAGTCAAGCCAAGTTCAAAATTGTGAAGCCCCCATATTCCCAGGGCACCCTCTCGCCAATCGACTCCAAAATGCGCTTCTTCATGGCCGACACGTACAGGCGGTGACCTGCGATTCCGATCGCGCTCGGAGCTGCTTCAAAACCGCTCCACATAGGGGCCTCAATTCCCTTGAACTACATGGGTTTAAAGGGTTTAGGGTTTAGGGTTTAGAGTTTAGGGTTTAGGGGGCCTCAACTCCCTTTAATTACATGAATTTGTAGGGGGGGGCTACCGAAAGGGTTGTCATAGGCCTTTTGAACATATACACTGGCCTTAGCAGTGAGAATGGGGTTTGGGGGTATCTTGTCGTCTAATTAGTTGTACTAAGGAGCCCTCGTAAATAGCACTGATTACTGATTATTCAGAAAACAAAATTATCCTAAACCTTAAACCCCTAAACCCTAAACCCTAAACTCCTAAAGCCCCTACACCCTAATCCCTAAACCCTAAGGGCCCAAGGTGCTCTTCTCAGGGGCTCTATGGTTTCTAAAACAAAGAGGCCTCAATACTTACCTATGGCATAATATACCCCAAAACCCTATTCTAATCATTAAGGCTCCTACACCCTAAACCCTTGTAGTAGCCCTTATAGCACCCTTTAAGGGAACTCTTTAAAGGAACCCCCCCAAACCCTATTCTAGGCATTAAGGCCCGCTACATTAGCACGGCTTAGGGCCTTCGGATTTGTGGCTCGAGGCAGGTGTTCAGGGTTCTCGGTTGCTGGGGGACAAAGGGCTCAAGAGGGCTTAGGGTTTAGGGTTTTAGGGGTTTAGTTTAGGAATTGGGTCTGGGTCATATGCCAGTATACTTATATGTGATATAAGAGACGAATGATTCAGACCCCCTTTTGTTGTCGAGGTAAGATGTTCCAAAAGTGCGGGTTGTGGGTGCTTGAGGGCTAAGGCTTCAAGTTCAGGATTGTGACGACGATGGACAATTAGTTAAACCCATCCGGGAAGTGAGCTCTAGCAATGCTAGTAGCAGGTAATGTCGGGGCCCTGCTAAGGAGAACAGAGTGCCAGGGGAGATAATCGAAAAACTCTGCGTCGACGATCAGGGATATGATAACTAACTACTTCTAAATTACAATATATTCAAGCCTCTATAGGGGGACCTTAAACCCTAAACCCTAAACCGGAAGACTTAGCAGGAGAACCGTGATTATGATGCTTGCTGCCATTCAGTCGCTTTACCGACCCATCCGATACCAGAAGATGGATCACTGAGACTTCGGCCATAAAAAGGAGGAAGAACAGAGAGGAATGGCGTGCAGTACCTCCGCAGATCACTCCGAATATAATCTGTCCGCAGCGCCTGGGGGGGAAGTCTGGGGCTGGCTCTAAGTATCAAGGGGCTTCTACCACCTGTGCCACAGATCACCATGCCCGTGCTTGGTTTTGTCATAATAACTATATTGTTTTCATATATCTCTCTTTCTCACTCTTTATGTATTTATTTATTCATTTATGTAATGATTTATTTAACTGGTAAAATATAATACAGTATAACGTAATATAATATAACAGAATATAATATAATATGATAGAATAGAATATAATATAATGTGATATCTCATTTAATATAACATCTAATATAAACATAATATGATATAACATATAATATATCGTATGATATGATATGATTTTAAATTAGATCGTATAATATAACATGATATGATATAACATAACATAATATAATATAATGTATTCAAAGATAACATATAATATGATGCAATATAATATAGCATGATATAATATAATATAACATCATCTAAGATAATATGAGATAATACAACTCAATGTAACCTGAACTAACCTCATACATGTTCAAGTACAATATAACATATAATTAAATGTATAAGATATAATATAACTTACAATATAACATATAATATAACATATAATATAACATATAAAATAACATAATAAAACATACACCATATAATAACATATAACATAATGCAATATATAAAACAAAACAAAACAATATAATATAACAGATGTATACAGATAGATATGTGTGTGTATATATATATATATGTATATATCTGAGTTCTTATTCGTGGTTATTTGATACACTATCACAGAACAACTGCTGACCTACCGAAAGGCGGGGCACAGCTCCGCAGCCGTGCGGTAGGCACCCGCCAGGCAACTCCCCGTTGTGCCAGAGGCGTAGTGCGGGAACATGGGAATGAGAACTTAGCGAGCAGTGCACGACAGAGGCACTGAAAGCAGAACCCTACTGTTCGGGCCTTAATCAGAATTGGGTTTTGGGCTGATTGAATGTTGGCGATCATTTGGGCTTCTACAGTAAATCTCGAACAACTCGGACGATGCAAACGTTGGAACTCCAGGAGTTTCTTTGTGCCTCCCGCAGAACGGACCCTGCTTCGGCGGGACAAGCTTGGCGACTGTCTTTCAACACGGATTGCGCTGACCCCCATCACAATCATGCCCACCTAGGTGACCTGCATCCGACGCCAAAGGATGGTGAGAGCCATGGGGAGGAAGGAGGCAGAAAAGCTCAGCATCGTTCGAAGATCTTGTAGAGCTGATCCAGAGAGGCTAACTCCAGGAAGGTACCATCGGTCGCCAGCTCTCGGGGCCATTGGCACTCCCCATCCCGGCGCAAGGCTTCATGCAGCCAGCGGAGGCCTTGCAGCTCCTCTGTGGTGCGTTGCCTCTTGGCCGCAGAAGCTGCGACGATGTCGTCAAACTCACCGGACTGGACGGCGGCATTCAGCTCCTCCACCGCGGCCCGGCCCCGCTGGTAGATGTCCGCTTCGGCTTCGCTGGGCAGCAGCAGCTCCGCACTGAAATCGGCGATCACCTGACAGATGCCCTCAAGGCAGGGCTTCTCCTCCTCCCAGTCCACTTCGGCACAAAGCCGGACAAGAAAAAGGGGCAGCGTCTCAAAGTTACATCCCATGTCGGATTTCAGGCCCAGCCCATTCGGCAGCGCCTTCAGGCACTTGCCCGAAACATCGATCTCCAGCATGAAGTAGGCGTTGAGCAGCTCGGCCTTCTCAAGAAGCAACGTAAGGAAGCGAGTTGCCATGGCCTCGATGTCGACGGATGCATGCAGCAGGGGATCATAGCCCGAGTCAGGGTCCTGAATACCCAACTTCAGGAGCTCGGCTAAAGGCAGGGGCTCTGCCAGAGTGATGCAACCCACGCCGCCGATTAGCCTGCGGGTGACATGAAAACTGCACCTAATGTAGGGGCCTTGATAATTACCTATGCTATTTTGGGGGGGCTTATTATAATCATGGCATAATATACCCCAGAACCTATTCGAATTGTTAAGGCCCGTATAGTATGCAGCCAATATGAGGAAGCATGCCGGCAAATGCCTGCATGCTGATGAGGGCTCTTTGCTGCCGGTACACTGCCATATTATGATCTTCGCAAAACTTTGAGTGGCCCTCATCAATCACAGCATGCCCGCCAACCAACCCCTAAGACTTAGAGAACTACCCTTCTGGTACCCGTTTAGAAGCCCTGATCGATCCCTTGAGGGAACCCTTGTAGTAAACCCAATCGGACCCTAAGAGTCCTCAACCCCCAATGGGTTTAGGGTTTAGGGTTGCCCACCTGAGCAACCGCTGGTAGGCACACTCCCGTGCAAGGATCGCGATGTTCACCATGCAGAGAGACTTCTCACACTGGAGAAGCACGAGCTCCCGTGTCACGGGTCCAACATACCTAGGTTGGCGCTGTCAAACCCCTGAGAACTATTCGTAAATAAAATCCTCTTAGGCACAATGAGGGAAGATTCAAAAAATGTCCCAAAGGCCTAGCTAGATACACGGATTTGTTCAGCAACTCGGACAGCTCGGTGTCGCCAGCCACGGCCACGGAGATGCGCAGCTCTTCAATGGATGTCAGCTGCTGAGCCTCCTCAAAAGCTGCACGGCGCTCCTCGGACATCTGCCCAGAAATCTGCCCCCTTTGGACCAGCGGTTGGCTCGAAGCACTGCTTGGAGCTGAGGCAGCGACCACCAATTGCGATTGCGATGCCTGTGCCGTCTGAGATGCCTGCGTTGCCTGAGCCGCCTGTGAGTGGGATTCCAGGAACATGGACTGCAAGGACATCTGTCGGTGGTCCGTCCGAACCTGGGCTTTGAAGTAACAAGGGAGAAAAAAGTATAAACTTTTATTCCAGAATGGCTCCTGTAAGGAACAGGTCCCAAAAAAAGTATTAAAGTAAGGAACCCGAGTGGGGTTCAACACCGCAGGCGCCTCCCTCTGGTCGAGGCCTGCGCTGGCTCTGGTCGCCGCAGGTGGGGCGAGGTGTAAAAGCTGCAGAGGCTGCGGAACTTTGGGCTTCTCCTGGGTTTGTGTTTCGGACCTTAACTTTTTAAGGTACCATCTGAGGGATCTATAGCAAATGAAGGGGATCCATTGCAAATCAAACGGATCTATAGCAAGTCAGAGGGATCTATAGCAAATCAAAAGGATCTGCAGCAAATCTACGGGTTTCTTCTATATTGTGGCAACTGAAAACAAACTCCTTAACATAGGGGCCTCAATAATTAGAAAAGGGTTTTGGGGTATACTCAACCATAATTATCAAAAGGACCCCCCAAAATAGTAGAGGCAATGATCTAGACCTCCAAAGAAACAAGAACCCAGTCTCCTTCTCTGCGATTGTAGCTCCTTTGCCTGGCGATGGCAGGGCAGACACGAACGTCCTGGAGCCTCCCATATTCTGCAGCTGCGCGAGCAGCGTCTCTTGCAGCTTCTGCGCAATCGTCTCTTCATGAAGGAACTGCACCTCCATCTTCCTAGGTTGGCCTTAAAGCCTCTTAAAAGTGTTAAGCAAGATCGTGTAAAGCCCATTTTCGGGAAAGAGAGAAGACTCTCAAAGCCCTGCCCAGCTTCGTCGGATGGACGTTCACGTCGATGGCCGCCGGGTTCACCTCAGGGGCCAAAACCCTGAACCCTAAACCCTAAACCCTAAACCCTAGACCTTGAACCCTAGACCCTAGAACCCTAAACCCTAAACCCTAAACCTAAACCCTCAACCCTAAAGCCTAGACCCTAAACCCTAAACCCTAAACTCACCTCAAGGGCCAGGTAGACCCAGGGGTGCTGATGTCTTGGCAGCACGCTCTGGTAGACGGCCTCCAGGGCTCGCTTCAGTGGCCCGGACTCCACCAGCCTGTTGGGTTTAGGGTTTAGGGTTTAGGGCTTAGGGCTTAGGGTTTAGGGTTTAGGGTTTAGGGTTTAGGGTTTAGGGTCTAGGGTTTAGGGTGTAGGGGTTTGGGGTCTAGGGTTTAGGGTTTAGGGTTTAGGGTTTAGGGTCCAGGGTCTAGGGTTTAGGGTTTAGGCTTTAGGGTCCAGTATAGGGTTTAGGGTTTAGGGTTGAGGGCCTGTTGTTGATGAAGAGGATGAAGGTCAGAGATCGAGACATGTAGTTAGGGCTCGATGCAAAGCCGGTGCAAGAGAACTTGGGCTCTTCCGACGCCAGAGAATAAGGGAAGAGCTCCTTCGCCAAGTTCTGGCCATAAATCGTGGAGATCACGCCTTGGGCCGTGACATCCTCACCTCCTACGGTGGTCAGCTCGGAGACCGAACTCGTGTTCTTCCGGCAACTAAACCCGACTTTGGGGTAGTGGATCGCGTAGCGCTGCACAACCTCCAGCACCTTCGCATGCTCGATACTCTCCTTGCTGAGGGCCTGTCTCCGAGTTGGGTTGTTGTAGAACATGTCCTCAACAACAATGGTCGTTCCTCGAGTTCCTGCACATGGCCTGGCTGGGCCTTGCATCTTGCTCTCATTGTACTGAGCCACTCGTGCGCAGTCGTCGCCGCTAGTCATGGTGGTGACGGTCACATGGGCCACATGACTGATTGAAGCCAATGCTTCGCCGCGGAAACCGAAGGTGCCGATGCTACTGAGGTCCTCGTACTTCCGCAGCTTGGAGGTGGTGAAGCGCTCACACAGGATCGGCAGGTCATCCGCCCGGATCCCATGACCATCATCTTCGATGCGCAGCATCTTCAGGCCACCAGACTTCGCCACGATGGCGATTCGAGAGCTACCTGCGTCAAGTGAGTTTTCCATCAGCTCCTTCAAGGCATTGGCCGGCCGGACGACCACTTCACCGGCCGCGATGCGGTTGATCACCGCCTCCTCAAGGAGTCCGAATATGTGTGCATGTGTGCGTGTACATCAACCAATACCATACAAGCCCTAAACCCTAAATCAGGTACCCCAAACCCAAAAATATGCAGACAGCTAGATATAGATGTCTATTCCCCAGCACATAATGTAGGGGCCTAACTATATACCTATATTATGTTGGGGGGTCCTTATTATAATTTATAGTATAGTATACCCCAAAACCCTACTCTAATTATTAAGGCCCCTACATTATACCCGAAACACCCCTGAACCCCGAAACTTAGCCTCGGAACCCCTAACAGGTTCCAGGACCTGCAGCCCTGAACCCCCAGCCCAAGAGAGCCCGAAGTCAGCCCAAAACTCGCTTTAGGGCTTAGGGCTTAGGGTTTTGCTTCCAAATGCAATGCACCTTTGACTCCAGCAGGTTTAGGGTTTAGGGTTTAGGGCTTAGGGTTTAGGGTCCTCTAGCTGCACGATCCGGGGCTGGTCCGCGGAGGCACCCTCGGGTGGCCCTTCCATGACTCCACGGCCCCTATGCGGGCTGCCAGGACACTCGGAAGTCCAGGCCTAAAACCAGAAAAACCCTAAACCCTAAAGTTTACTTGCAGGTAAAGATTCTTTGACAAGAGGCGACGAGGCACTTAGGGTCTGGAGTTCAGGCTTTAGCTTCGGGGTAGGGCTTTGCTGTTTTGGGTTTAGGGTTTAGGGTTTAGGGTTTAGGGTTTAGGGCTTGAGGTTTGGGAGTTGGTTCTTCTGCTCGCTTGGATTGCTCGAGTTTCCACTTGACTCTGACTTCAAATTGAGTCCTTCCTGCTGAGAAGAAGAAACAAGTAGCACATCGGTACGAGGGACCCCACTTCTGGACCGCATCGCAGAATTTCGTTGACCCCTGGGTCAACTATGGGGCTTCACGGCTTAGGGTTTAAAGCATGAACACGACAGAGGAAAGGAGTGCGACACGACGGGCACGCACAGCATGAATGTCAAGGGCGTTTGACAGAGGTCTCTCTAAGGACTTTAGGAGGGACCCCTAATAGGGACCCTTAATCCCATTACCTTAAAATAACCATTGTAAAGTCCTTTTATACCCCTTATATAGCCAGGTAGTCTCCATATTAACTCCAATAACCTACAAGGGCCCCTATTAAGGGTCCCTCCTAAAGCCCTTAGAGTCTCGAAGGACAAGGGCCCGGCCAACGCTATCCACACCGGACTCCGCTAGGTCTTTCAGCGACTCGTCCACAGTGGGGCTCGAGTACTGCAGACAGCAACCAGGTGCTTAGCGTTTTACGTTCAGTTTAGGGTTTAGGGTTTAGGGTTCCGCACGTCAGGACTTTGAGGGTGCAGCTAGAGGGTGTAGGGTTTGACGTCTAATGCGGTTTGGGTTCTGTCGGCAGTTTACTGCACTCGGGGGCATCCGGAGACCGACCCTAATTGGTTCCAAGAACCTTAGCTTACAACAGACTCTCTTACCTTCGTTCCTCGAATGCACAGCAGGAGCCCGAATAATTACCAACACTATTCATCTGGGTTCCTTAAACTAAAATATTCCCCAAAAGCTTGTTCTAGCTATTGAGGCCCCAATATTACGGTCGAGGTCACCCTAAACCCTAAACCCTAAACCCTAAAAACCCTAAACCCTAAACCCTAAATAAGTTCGAATCGTTGAGAGGAGCGTCTGCCGTCAGGGCTTAAGCGTTCGAACCCTTTCAGGGCCTCTCGGTGAATTCAAGTTTTTGAGGCTTGGGCTGTTAGGGCTTTGGGTGTAGGGTTTAGGGTTTGGGGTTTAGGCTTTCGAATTTTAGGGTTTAGGGGCTAGGGTTTAGGGTTTGGGGTATATCACAGGGTTGATAAGGGGCATCTGTGGAGGGGATTTCTGTGGGTTGCACTTTTTGCCGAATGGGCGTGTTCGGGTCGTAGGGGTCCCCGCCACAGGGGCCCCTTATCATCCCTGTGAGTTAAGGGTTTACGCCCAAATACCCAGTCTTTAAAGACCATGAGGGATCTATTCGTGAGTATTTGGGGGACGTCCTCGTAGGGCTAGCGGCTGTGGTTTTAGCTCGTCTCTAGCGCCTGTCTCAAATAGGGCTTGCACCACGAATTTAGCTGCTGAGGTGTAGCTTTCTGGAGGCCAAACCCTAAACCCTATTAATTGGGGTTTACGGCATAGGGTTAGCCCAAACCCTAAACACTGAACCCCAATCCCTACACCTAAGCCTAAACCCCTGGAAAACCTTACACACCCGTATAAAACCCTGAAAAACCCTCTAAACCCTTGGAAACCCTATCAAACGACGATTTAAACACCGCTGTATCAGAAGGGCATGCCGCGCTAGAAAATCTTCTGCCCTAAACCCTAAACCCGGCCTGCATCCCGATTCGGACTTCAAATCGGTCGCCCATCTCCTGTTTTATGTAGGGTTTCGAGCTTTTGAAGGTAGGGTTTAGGGTCCAGGGTTAGGGTTTAGGAGTAGGGTTTAGGGTTTAGGATGCTTTCAAGTCTAAACCCTAAACCCTAAACCCTAAACCCTACAGGCAGGG